CACACAAATAAATAAATAAATAAATAAATAAATAAATAAATAAATAAATAAATGTTAAAAAAAATCTAATGCTGGGCTTTAGATTCTCTGCATCTGAAACCCATTCATCCATCACCAAATGTCATTGTGTATGTCACAAGTGATTGTGCTGTCATCATACCAGGTGTCGAGTGCCAGGGCAGGCTCCAAAGCTACACAGAGAAACCCTGTCTTGAATAACAAAACAAAACAAAACAAAACAAATCTAAAACTTGGGTGGCTGATGCTTTTATAGAATTAGGGGCTGCAGGATGGCTCAGCAGGTAAAAGCACCCTCGTGTGAAAGGAGAGAACTAACTGATACCTCCAAGTTGTGCTCTGAGCTTCACGTATGCTCCATGGAACACACACCAAGTAAAGAAATAAATCTTAGTGTGTAAGCCAGGACGGAGGCAGTGTGGTGGTACACATGGCAGTCTTAGCACTCAGGAAGCCTAGGGGGGTCGGGGTCTAGAGTTTCCTGTCTGATTTTTAAAACGGGGGACAATATGGGAAGGATATTTATGGTGAGTCCCCTTGTGTGCGGGCTAGTTTTATGTCAACTTGACCCAGGATAGAGTCACTGGAGCAGAGGGAACCAGAATTGAGAAAATGCTTTGTAAGATCAGGCTGTAGGGCGTTTTCTTTTCTTTTTTTTTTTTTCTGTTTTTGTTGTCTTTATTGTTTGTTTGTAGTGCTACAGATCAAACCCATGACCCTGAACATGCTAGACAGTGCTTTAGTGTTAAGTCACACCCCCAACCCCAAAGCTCTATGGAATGAAGGGAGAGCATTGGTTGTGCAGTAAATGTTCTAATGCCAAGTACTCTGATTATAACCTTGTAGTACATCCATGTTCATCAGGGAAAGACTGGTTCAGAGTTATTCATCTGAGTCACCTTCTCTGACATCACATCTTATTCCATGTTTCCACTGGGCCATTACTCTAACTACTATATATATGTGTTAATGTTTGATTGCCTTCCCAAAAGTCTTGACTCCTTGAAACCAGAGAGCCCTCCAAACTGCAAAGGTTCCATCCGTGTGGTCATCTTGGCTCTACTACACCTCAGCACCAAGCACCAGCTTTCAGTCTTTGGGTGGCTTTATTTCTCTAATCCTTGATTTCTTCTTCTATACAATGGATATCATGGAAAGACATCACTGAAATGTTGTGTAGGGCGTTTTCTTAATTAGTGAATGATGTGAGTCCAGCCCATTGTGGGTGGAGCCAGTCCTGGGCTCAATAAGAAAGCAGGCTGAGGGAACCATGGGGAGCAGTCAGCAGCTCCCCTCCGTGGCCTCTGCGTCAGCTCCTGTCTCCTGGTTCCTGCCCTGTGTGAGTTCCTGCCCTCACTGCTTTCGATGATGAACTGTTGTATGGAACTGTGAGTGAAATGAACCCTTTCCCCTCCAAGCTGCTTTGGTCATGGAGTTTCATCATCACAGCCATAGTGACCCTAACTAGGACACCTTAGACTCTGGTGATTTTCGATCAAGAGTCCCCCTTTCTTAGAATTCAACAGGGCACACAGTCTATCGCTAACAACAATGGAACCAAAATCTTAGAGGAGGCAGACTGCAGGGTTCTGAGCACTTCACTTT